TAACTTACTCTTAAAGGACTAGCAATACCAAGCTTCACCAGAAGCAGAAAAGCCAGCAACTTATCAGAACTATCTATCTTGGTATTTTCCTTGCATTGACAAAGTTGCCAGTATGAACAATTAGAAACATCAAACACTAAACACTTTGCATTATCCTGCTTCACATCTCTTGCCTTGTTCTTCGAGTCCCTGAAGTCAGTCTTTGGACCACTTGAACTGCCTTTCTTCCCCTTTTCTTCAGGAGGAGATCATCGTGGTTTGAAGGAGAGAAAAGCTAAGTTTTTACAGGTTCCGTGCACTCTTCTTTTGTTGTGTTCATATTTCACTACTTTTTTTTTTTCCTAACTTTTTTTGCTTGTTTTGCTTCACAGCAGGGACATACAGGTTGTTACCACAGACACTTGTCACAAGTGCCATATTTAACACACAGTTCTACTGGCAACAACTTCTACTACACTGTTTGAACACTGGTTTAGAGTTGTTTTTCCTTCCCTTCTTGTCCCCTCACACAGTTGATTTAAATTTCTATCATTCCCACCTGTCCATTTAATAGAAGCTTAGGACCTTAAACTAAGGAGGAATTCTGAAGAGTTAATGCAAAGTAATTAAAAACCACTGGATTCTGTCCAAAATATAATTTAAAAAATCCAACATAAAGAAACATGCATAGCAGCATTTCATAGCAGAATCTAACACAGGATTTTGGATGTTAACACCCTGTCCTTTGTCAAACACTGAGGGCACTGGGGCAAAGTTGCCCTGCAGAGGCATCTTACTGGAGCAATGGTTTGACTGTGCTGGGAAGAAACCTGCCAGCCTCTGTCCAGCCAGCACTGATTGCAAACACTACTCATCCTCCTACTTCACAAATTGTATGTGTCTTCTTCAGAAGACTCCTATGTGTATCAGGAACTCACAGAGCACATGAAAGATGGACTGGACTACCCTCACTCAGCAGTCTTAATTTTCACTCTACCAGAGCACAAGACATGCAAGGCATGTGCTGCCCCTGGGGCAGTGAGCAACATCAACAGTGCTGTCAAGTGCCATCCTTTTTGACACCACTGCTTGGGGAAACCTTTAAGAGACAGCAGAAGTGCTACCACAAGTCATCTGAAAGCTGTCACCCAAAACACTCTTACAGGACAGATTTTATTTCACAGAAACTTACGACTTAGCCTCAGAACTGTGGGTTTACTCTGAACAATGCTCAAGACTAGCACTTGGTGTTTTCACAGTGTGCTTCAAAACACAAGCTCATTTACATCATTTCCTCTGCTTTAATTCAGCAGTGCTCCCAACAAGCTTCAATTGCTTCCTGTGCATCACTGCTCAACACCTGCCTGCAGCAGCAACACAAACTCCACCCAGAACTCTCTAAGTATTATTTCTGCAGTTTCTACGGAGAAGACGCAAACACCACACACCAGTACTGGGGGAACAGAAAATCTGCCTGGTTACTGAACTGACTATCACACACAACACACTACAAGCAAAACATCTACACAGAATTAGCTCAGAATCCCTGTACAGCAGCATCTCAGCCATCAGCTTTAAATTTTCATGTCTTCCTGCAATTACACACCTGCAAGGCAGAAACTGTTTCTGGCAACTGGCATCGGAAAAACTATCAGGGTCCTTTTCTTTACACAATTAACTGGGACTAGTCAATACAAAACTGCTGTAGGCTCATATACAGCTTTTTAGAAAACTCAGGTGTCCTGTAATTTTGGTTTTCTAGCATTCATCTATTGTCCTGACAAAAAGCACATTAACAGTGCAGACATACTAACCTCATTTTGTTGATGTTCATTTGTCAGATTAAGTACAAGAAGCAGGTGTCTATATAAAAGAACCTCATCTGTTCAGCAATTTTACTTGGAAATGCAATAACTGTAAATATTGTATTTCTAAGCTACTTTTAATTCCTACCTGTTCTGCATTGTATTATTTTAACTCTGAACACGTGAGAACCAGCCTGGAGCTACATTCAGCAAAAGCAGACGACTGCTGCCGGTGACAGCCATTAAAGTACGTGGGTAGGACCCATCTCCAGAGGGTATGTTAGCCATAAGAGAAGTTCACTTCTGCTCTACAACTGGCACATTGATTTCCTTGAACAGAAATTCCCTCCAGTATGCCAGAGAAGAGTAAAATTACTTTCCCTAGTTCTTGGGAGAACAGGTACCGAAAGTGTCTGCCCACCAAACCCTCCCCCAGCATCAGCCCAGCTATGCCTACACTGCTGAGACAGCTACAGCACTTCCATTCTGCACTTTTTCTTTAGTTGCCAAGTGTGTACTTGTACTCAGACTCTCACAGGTAAACATTCTTAGCCCTCCATCTATTGAAGCAATGCATTGATGGACATTTTAGGTTATTTCTGGCCGTGGTAGAGGAGCTGATGGGAAGCCTCACTTTTGACAGCAGGATGCATATGGTGGCTGTTGGGTGCTGATCTGTGCTTTCCGGACAGCTGCCCCAAGCGCCATCCCTACCAGAGGCCCAGTACCAAATGAGAAGGATCCTCTGCCAGGAGCTGTTTCACCAGTGAAACGCCACCATTTAGTACAGGGGAGGAGGAAAGGTAAGGACAAAAGCCAGACAGACCTGCCCTTCACCACCCACTCACTCCACCAGTGAAAGAATTAAAGGGAGGAAAAGGCTGAAGTAAAACAGAGGCAGCTCTGTCCCTGCTGTCCCCCACCAACACAGCCGCCAACACTCTCCTCAAATGCACCTCCCTAAGGAGACACGGGCACCCTCCACTGCAGGCTGGGCAGGGAGATGGGCTCCAGACCAAAACCTCCCCAGGAACACAGAAGGGCTACAGGAAGCAATCAGACCCAAGAGCACCATGCTGGAAAGTAGCTACACTGCAGGCAGCCACAAATCAGTAAACAGGCCCATCCCTACAGTCACTTTTTATTACAGCTGGAGATGATTGTCAGGAAATAGATTTTAAAAGTACATACAAGATTTCCTCACAAGATAGTTTCCTCACAGCATCTTATTTGGATTCTCTGAACTTCACTCTGAAACACAAACTCTATTAATTCTCTTTCCAGAGCTCACATTTGCACTCACAGCTTGAAATAACTTGCCTGTTTTATCAACTTGCTTTTAGGGGATTTGGTGTGTGAATGGAAAGAGCCTTTAAAACAAGTAAGGTAAAGCAGATATTGTTTCAAGATATTATTCCACCACACCCCATTCAGAAATAATTGTGGAGCAAGTGGCCCCTGCCAGCCTTACCATAACCCAGAGCTGCAGCAGAGACAGCCCAGTGCCAGCAGAGAGTGCAAGCTTCTCACAAGTATTTCAGGGTGCTAAGTTTCCACATGCAGCACCTTCAAGGATTAGGGGAAAAAAGCCATCTTCCTTTTTCCTTGAATGTCCCATCTGTAGTGACTACATACAGTCACTGCAATGATTATCTTGTTACTGTCTTTAAAACAAAATTCCTCAGCTAGCAGTGACCATCAAAATCACCAATTTAGACTATACACACCACAAAGTATTAGATACCCAAGAAATACTAAGTTGCTTAACTTGCCTGTCTACATTTTTAAGTATACACAAAATATATGCAGCCTTACAATAATTTTTTTTAAAGGCCTGGATAAAAGCAGAAGCTAGCTGTACCCAAAATGGGCCTCTAAACCAGGGTCTAAACCAGTACCCTATTCAACTACTTTTGCACTGAAAGGCACTCATGACTGGAGAGCTGTAACTTGCAGAATTTTTCCTGCCCTCAAAACCAGAATTTTAAAGAGCTTAATAAAAAAGAAATTAAAGATATTAAAGTAATTGCACACTTTCAGATTTTTTTTCATGAGCTATAACATTAATGGATCTGCTGGGCTTTTCTAATCATAATTCAGAATGAAGCTGTTCTGGCAGACAGTAAGAAGTCCCCTTCCACAGATTTCTTCTTACAAGCTGTGGTTCCAACTCAGAAATAAAACTATATTCCCATTCCCTTCCAAAAAGCATTATATTTCTTTTATAAACACCTTGTGAGTTCTGGTCTCATTTCCACATTTCCAGCACTAATCTTAAAAGAGCATAATTAGATACATAGATAAGGCAGTTATTTGTGGTTTGGTCTTTTTTCTAAAAACAATATGCTCCTGAAAATATTTTCTTCCCAATGTGTCCTTTGAGATTGATTTTTATTTTTTTTTTCAAGTCTTGTACTCTTGAAACCCCTGCCTATTTTCTACATTATTTTTTCCAGAAGCAAAATTACTATGGACTTTTTCCATACTTTTATTCTGAATGGCTAATCCTTTAGAGGGCAGATGAGCTAACAAAAAGCCAAGGACATTATCAGTTCCAGCACTTATCCAAAGCCTGACTTTCATCCCACCTCTGTGATCCTATTTCCGCATTATTTAAGGAGAAAATACTGCAAGTCATGAAGCTTGCTTCATAATGACAGGCTGCTTCAGAGACAAGAAAAATATTGTGCAATTTGTTTTCTGCAGTGAAAAAAACTGACCTCATATTTCTCATACCCACCCTCCTGGGAGTTGAGTTTTATCTCTTTTAGAAGTTCAGGTAATTCTGATGGATTCTTTTTATAAAGAGGTCCACAGAACACTTCTGGCAAGCATGAAGTAGCAGATTGTGATGCAGGGGTTGAAATTCTTGTGCCAAATATGCTTGTGGGTTTTCTTGGTAAGAGAACACAGCTACTTATTATTTAACCATGCCCTCAGATGGTATTTCTCACTGATTTGGGAAGACCCATATCCTGGGGTTGGAACATAAAAGCAAAGAATTTACATTCAAGGGTAATTTGGTGGAACTTCTACCACAATATAGCAGCTGTACCAACAGGTTTGGGGGTTTCTTTCTCTTCTTTATTCCTTCCTTCCTTAAGCCTGAGAAAAAACGCTAAAACAAAGTCATGGGATCAAGAAGGAAAAGAACTATTCAAGATCAACTAATCTTAATCACACTGAAGTTCTCACATGTTTTCTCCAGCAACAGACAAGCTAAAGAATGTCTATTTGGGCCATACAGTCACGCACTTCAACAACAACCACCACTCCTCCTCCCATGTTCAGCTGCTGATGGTTTAGGACACTGATGCTGTAGCAATGCTCAGTGCAGGTCTCCTGATATTTCTGATAAGGACTCACCGGTAGAGTCTCCCATAAAAGCCTCAGGGCGTAACTGAGGCTCGTCTCTCTGCAAAACGCACCTACCTCCACTGACAGCTACTGGGAATATTTCCAAACTGCTGTCTTTGGTGCTCCTTGGGGACCCTCTATCTAGCTAATAAATAAAGAGAAGCTAGAAGTTTCCTTCAAACACACTAGAGCAAGAAAGGAACTTGCAGCTAGTGCATGCTGGAAAAGAAGAAACTGTCCTACAAGGCCTAGCGTTACAGCCTCCATGGAAAAGAAACAGGGAGAAAAAAAGGTATTTCTACTGTATGACCTTAAACTGAGAAATACTGACTCAGTGTTGAAACAACCTCTCTTTTCTGCAGTTCTGAGTTACCGGAGAGAAGACAATAAAGTTAGCCCTTATCCATCATCTACAAGTTTAGCAGAAGAGATCAGTGTCCCAAGTTCCATCTGACAGAGGGACTTGAAGAGAAAAAAAGCACAAACAAACAACAAAACCACATAATAAAGTAAACACTGATTACACTTCACTGAAAACACGGACTACCAAGTTCAATTTTCTACATACTTCAGTTTAAAAAAGGTCTTGAAAATTGCAACATCCCCCGTTTCTGCTTCAGCATTTCTGACTTAATTGACTAGTGACAATTACACAATTTATTTTTATGCTCAATACCAAACTCTCACAGTTTGCGAGAGCACAGAATTTACCGAGCAAGAACACATCTGACAAAAACGGAGATGTAACGCGTAGTTTAAACAATGCTCACCATTCCACTGAGGATAATTAAGCACCCTCCTCATCACTTCACCTGTTCTGGGGGGTTGGTGGGAGGAATGGGGGTTTCTCGCGGCCCCAGCAAGCCCAAAGGCCCGGCACAGCCCGGCACAGCCCGGCACAGCCCGGCACAGCCCGGCCGGGCGCTGCCCCGTGCGGCTCCAGCGCTGCGCTGTGGCGGGGGGGCCGCCTGCTGCATCCCGCCGCCTGCGGCTGCACCAACGCGCTCCCAGCACGCCCACGGCCGCCAACACAATGGAAACGCAGCCGTGAGGGACAGGTTCGGTTTATTGTTGAGACGGCGCTACGGTACAACCGAGTGGCCCGCTGTGCCAGGCCGCCTCGTCAGGGCGGTCGGGACAACCCCCGGCGGTCCCGGCTGCGCGGACCCACGGCCGCTCGGTCCGGCTGCAGCCCGCTCCGGGCCGGGACACGGGGCCGGGACACAGGGCCGGGCCCGCCGCGGTGCCGCTGCCCGCGGCCGGGAGGGCTGCGGGGCGCTGCGCGGCACCTTCTACCGCTGGCGGGGGGCCGGGAGCGGCGGGCAGCTGAGGGGTGAGGGGCGCGGGGCCCGGGCGGAGGGGCGCGGTGCCGCCGTACTCACCGCGCGGGCCGGCGCGGAGCCGCCTGCACTTCCTGCGTGCTCGGAAATGAGCGGGCGGGACCCTCCGCCGCGCCGCTTAAAGGGGACGGGCCGGCCGCCCCCGACCGCCCCCGGGGCGGGACCGGGTCCCCCGCGCAGTCCCGCGGGGAAGCGGAGCCGCCGCCGCCGCACGGCAGCAGGGAGGGGCCGCGGGACCGCCCTCCCTCCTCCCTCCGCCCTGCGGCTGCTCGCTCCCCTGAGGCGGGGGCGCGGCGCGAAGCGCTCGGCTGAGGGCGAGAGCTGCGAGCTATCCCCGCGCTCCGCAGCGCTGCCGGCCGGGCCCGCCGCCGGCCGGGCCCCTCAGCGCCCCTCAGGCCACACCGAGCGCGCCCGGCGGCGCCCGGCCCCGCGCTGCCCGCCCGGACAGTGAGCCTGGAACGGCCGCGGCACTGCCCGGCACCGCTGCTCTGCCAGCCCTGCAGCTCCGCGGCTCGCAGAGGTCCAGCAGCAGAACATTGATGCTGATTGCTCAAGTGTTAGCAAAACCCTGAAATTGTCATATAGCCTTTATGATGGAAACAAGAAGTAGAATTTAGCAGTAATTATTTTTTACTTATCCAAGTGTTTATGTACAGTTCTGTATTTCCAGAAGAACATTTCATTACACTATATTATTTTTTAATTATTCGTTTTCTGCAGGGCTTGACCTGAAAAGAAGCCAAGCTTGGGAACTCATGCAGCTTCCAGCCACACGCATGAATGGTGGCTTGTAGCAGTTTAAAAGGGAGAAGCTTGGGAAGCAGGTGAGGTAGGACTGGCCTTCCACGTTTTTGATCCAGACGTTTTTGGTTCCGCTCATCAAAAATAAGAGAAAGCCAGTAAAGGCTTATTAGGTACAGACCTGCACCCCCTAACTTGACATCACTCAGCTGGATTGCCTGGGGCTGCTCACCTGCCTCAAAGGCAGGCCCTGAGGGCTTTCCAGCACAGAGCCCCAATGGTCTGAGCAGCAGAAGCTGCATCCTTTGTCACGTTACTGCTCTGTTGAGATCTGTACCCCATTTAGCACAGAGGAGCCCTTTGTCTTCAGGCAGGCAGAAACCCATTTGTTCATAAATAGCTACACTACACAGCCTGGGAGGGGGCTGGGTGTCCAAGGACCAGATCTGTTCAGTCTAGATTTCAAGACCTCAGACAGAAAAGGTCTTTCTAGGGAATACCTTTAATAAACAGGTAAAAGACACTGGGTTGGTGTTACCATCCATCAATCCAGACACTTTCCTACCCATTAAAACTTGTCACAATGCTAGATCATCATTTTAGGTATCCCTCAAAAACACACTTAAAAAGTATATTTATAAAAGAGAATTATCAGAAGGTTTTAAATATTCACATATGCACTCCTCAAAGTAGGTAAATGTGGCTTTATTCCTCTTTTAAAACAGTATGTAAATATATTATTTTAAACCTGACCTCATGCAAAATTTCAGTATTGCATGTTACAGATGGCTGTTGAACATCCTGCTTGTCGTCTTTGTTGTGGATAATGAGCAGGATTTTAGTAGACACCGACACACTGGAGGTTGCAGTGTTCTGTAGACATAATATTTGTGAGTACAGGAAGATAACGGAATTGAGATAACTGAAATGACTGATTTTGTTAACTAACCCTTCATTCTGACAGTGCTGCAGCACCCACTGGCTGGCCTACAGAGAGCAAGCAGACTCTGAATATTGTCCTTCAAGTTTCCCAGGTACCACCTTTCTGCACATGAGCTTGTTGCTGCTATGTGGGGAGAGCTATACAGGGCCTTCCAGGGGATTATACACAGAATATTTTTTTTCTTCTCTAAGTGCCAGTTTCCTCTGCTTACCAGAATTTCTTCTGGTTGTTTTTTTCCAGATTGAGAGAAGGAAAAAATAGATTTCTTAACCTCTTGTAGAAGCAACATGGGTATTCATAGTCATCTCTGTATGAAAGGTCTACCATGTCAGGAAAAATGATGGGTTTGCAGTGATGTTGCATATAGTTTCCTGATTCTTCTATCAGAACAAGCTGTTCTAAGATTAGATATTCCTTCATAACTCAGACCTGTATTTATGCAGATAGATGTTATAGCTCCTATTTGGTGTTAATCTTACAGGAGTACAAAGGAATTCCCACGTTGTTTGTGAATAAAGCAGGCAATAAAACATTTAGGAAATGTCTGTGTTTTAAGATACAATTCATTTCAACCTCAGGATTTTTCTTAGACAGGTAGTTGCAGACCTCCTAGCATCTGAGAGCAATAGTATATATATTTATATATTTATAATTTATGTGGCTCAGCTTTGAATCTTCCTAAAATATTATGATAGGATGGTTATTTAGGAGACAGACTTTAAAAATGTTTCCCTAAACTTGGCTAAACACTGTTCTTAAATTGGTACAGTTGGGGGAAAGGAAGTGGCTGGCTGGCAATAGCTTATTCAAAAAAGAAGCGTTTTCCAGAACAGCATTAGCTCCAGCCTCTAGTGGTTTTGGTTTTCTTTCTCAGGCCTTTTTTTTTTTTTTTTTTTTTTTTTTTTTTTTTTTTTTTTAAAGCATATGTGTGGGCTGGAGGGGAAGAAACAAAAGAAAAAGAGAGAGAAGAGCTGATGTGAGAACATGATACCAAAGTGAAGGAGTAATGTAACTGAGGCCAAAGGAGAAAAGAAAAAAGGCAATCTTTCAACAAAGGATATTTTTGTTCTATTAACCTCTTGAGCCGAAGTGAAACATGCATGTAGAATAAGAAAAATGGTCCATTATTTTGCCTGAAAATTCTGAGCTTTAATTGTCAAACAATAGTCATTAGTTTGCCTTGACACAAGGCTTTTTGTCAAATACCACAGCTCAGCTTTACTGATGGCACAATTCCAACATGATCCCATGTGAAACCACTTTCTTTTTCCTTAAGTGTTGCAAATTATTTATAACAGATACTGAACAATGCATGCAAAATCATGAAGAAATTTTAATAGCTCTAAATCAACCCTCCTCCAATATTTTATTCATTGGGATTTATATCCCTCAAAATCCTCAATCTGAGCTTCAAAGTTGCACTCTGTAACCCTTTGTCACTGCTGCTGTCCAAACGAATGCTGTTGCTCCGGGCAGTGAATCGGGGTCTTGGGAGAGGCCGTGGCTTCAGCAGAATTAACTCACGCCTGCCTGGGGCAATGCCAGGCTGCCCCTCAGGCTCTCTGGCAGTGCTGCAGTGTCAGCACCAGCTGGGGCACTGAGAGCCCAGTCCAGGGCTGCTCTGGAGCTCTGAAAGGACACAGACTTATTGTCATTGTGGGGCATCAATGACACGAGTTACAGGCACTTGGAATGCCAGGATGTTTTATCTCGCTGCTTTCAGAGACTGGAATAATGCCTTGATTTGCCACAGCTTTAGGAGAGAGAGCTCATCTGTACCAACATACCACACAAAAATCTTCCTGTATGTGTTGTTACCATGCCCTGTATTTTGCACTGAGCAACATTTCCTTTTTGTCAATGCTTGGTTTTGGCCTCTACGTCTTTGAGTGCTGAAGGACTACATTTTTTCACATAGTGTTTTGGGATCAAATAAATAGTAATTCTTTGGTATTATAATGTACTGAATTTTGGACTCAGAAGCATATAATTTATATAATGTTTGGTAAATGAACTGCTATGGGTTGTTCATTTCCTGGTGTTTTAGGATCATAGTTGCTAAATTACTTCCTTTCAAAAATTCTCATTAGAAAATAGTATCAACTGACTTAAAATTTATAGAGTCCTTTCATACATTAAAGCAGACTAATTCATGAAAGACATGAAAACTAAATCAATACAATCACAGCTGTAAGTGAATGTAAATAAGATTTAGTTTTATCTACTATCTGAAAATGCTTTCTTCTGATAACAGAAGTGCTTACTGTAGTCCACCTGCTTTTTTCTTTGAATAGTGATAGTTTAGCATCTGGAAAAAGTATATGGAAGGATAAATCAGATTTTTTTGGATACGATCTCTTCAAATAACTTTTTCTCTTTGAAACCAACATATAGTTGCTGTTAGCAACAAATGTTTGCCAAGCTCTGTGACAGCAGCAAATGGATTGTGAAAACATTCCTGTACCACCAGTACAGTGTCACTCTGGCTGGTGCCATGGGGGAAAAGGAATACAGAAGAGGACAAGCAGGGAGCTGCATTAAATGCCTGGGCTCTGCTGCTGCTCCAGCTGAGAGCAGCAGACAATATTCTGCAGTGGTGGCTGAACATTTTTCCTGGCCACATGGCCTTATTTTTCCTGGCAGGAACAATGGGTTGTGTGCCCATGGTTCCACTGCTCACTCGCAGCTGCACCAGGGTATCACGGCAGTAACAACATATATGGAAAGCAATCCATGTAGGTAGTGCTGGAATTCTATACTGGTTTATTTCTGACTATTCCAAAACATCTTTGCTATATAGCTTCTGTCTAATAGCACCAAGAAGTGCTGTAGGCATTTTTCTAAAAAGAGAATAACATTTTGTCACTAATACATTGACTGCAAAGCAGTTGTGAAAAGAAGTCCAAGCAACCAAATTCTGTGCCAAGAATGGAAAACAAATAGGAGGGTTTTGACTGGAAGATTTGGTGTTATGCAAAACATACTAAAAAAATTACACATTCCTTTTTTTTTCTTTTTGGGCTTTCTTAATCTGATGTGCTTCATATTTTACACAAAATAGTCAGTATATCAGTATTTAACATGCATTACTGCATGATCAGATGTACCCACTGAGCCTGCCCAACAGTCAATAAAACCACCACTACCTTCCACACAAAAAAACAAAACTGTAGAAAGGCACAGTACAGAGATGATCATCCATGCTGACAGTTTAGTAAACAGTTAGTACATTGTTCATTGTCTGTACTGTGCTGCTCATTGTTGGCAATATTTTATCTACTCCAGTTTAGGGTTTGGATTTTTTTGCTAGTGTTAAGACTTGACTGTCACTGCCCAAAAAAAGATCTCCCTCATTTGAGTAAAAAATCCAGCCAGTTCATAAAACAAATTGTTTCTCTTGTTTCTGGTACCAGTCATTGTTGCATATACATCATTAAAATGTTTTCAAGAGCAACATTTGTCATGTTTTTAAACTCCTCCCTTCCATAAAATGGCATGGGAGTAATAATAAAATCACCTAACTACTTTGATTTTATTAGCAGTACTTTACCACTGACTGAAAAACTGTTGTAGGGCTGTAACAGTGCTAAGACAGGGCAAAAGGAAGGTTCCCTTGTCAAAAGAAGCCTCCTAGGTACCACAGAATATCAACAGACAACCAGAAAAAAATACCATACCTCATTTGAGCAGTTGAAAATACTTTGTTTAGATTTTCATGGAAATTGGCATCTGTTCCTGTGGTGCATAAAAGCAGTGGCTGATTTTGGAAAAGTGTTAAAGTATGCTGTTGAGACTTTAGTATCATTATCATTATAAAACCAATGGGTAAGGATGAACTGATTTGTAAAGTCAAGATCAAATGTCACTGCATTCCTAACAGTCTCACAAACTTCTCTTTAATTGCTGACTTGTTTTATCTTAGGAAAAAGTTTTGCTAATGAGCATCTTACAACGACTCACATCTGTTGGTAAAATGAAACTCCAAATCAAATTAATTCAAAGCAAGATTTTACATTAGAAATGCAACTCCAGGAGAGCTGAACATTTTGAAAATCACTTGAATTTGTTCCCACTCCTTCTCAAGAGCAAGGAAAATGTGTTCTTGCGTCTCCTTTTCTGTCCCTATTTTTAGAATTAGAATGAGAAAGACCTGATCTGCACCCCATTTAAATTATGGAATATCAAGTTCAGAAGTATTTACTAGATGGAATTGAATAGTTATAAATGATATTCCTATTTCCGTTTCATTCTCTTTTTAATTTAAATTTAAGAATGTCAGTTACCAGTTCTGGCACGATGCTAGACAAGCAAGGATTTGCACTATTTTAAAAAACAAATCATATTTATGACAGGATAAGCACAGAGATAAAATGGTTTTTTTGAACTGACTTTTTCTGCAACTTAAGCATCTTAGAAGATACGTGCAAGCTGTGTTTAAATTACTGATGTACACTCACAACACGAAGAGGTTCATTACGAGTGCAGACAAATGCAAATTGTAAAATTTGGTCACGTGTAGGAGGTGAAAAAACATAGCTTAACTTGTGAATGCTAAAATGCTGCTGATAATTTAATGTATGTTTTCTGCTCCCCCTGAGCTATGCTTAAATCTTGTATGACAAGGTCCTTAGTGTAGATTTGATGCCTTTCATAGCAATAAAGGTAATATGTGCTACTCATATCACTGCGTTTCAAGGTGTAATACCCTTGAACAGTGTTCTGCTACGTATTGCCTAGGAAATAGAATTCTCATTGGAAATCCTAACAATTAGAAGCAATCTCTAGTTTACGGTCTAGCATTTCAAAGCATGTATTTCACATTTTCTAATATGAGGAAACCATAATGGAGACTCAGTAAGCAAACAGAATGGATTCCATAAACATTATTTCTGTTTGGTTACAAAGCTGTCTCTGAGGGTAACCTGTTGTAACCTAACCTGATTGCTTACTTTATCTTTGTGCATGTAAAAATGGGGATCAATATTTTGCAGTATAAATAAGTATTCTCTGCAGTATTTCTACAAAAACTCACATTATCTGTTTTTCTTTGATATTTAACAAACTGCCACAGTTCATTTTAACAAATGATCCTGGAAGAACACCACCTCTAAGACCTCCAACAGCAATGTTTTAAAATAAAAATCCCTATAAGCAGCATAAACTTCATGCCCTTCTGTTTGCTGGCTAGACCAGGCCACTATTCAGAAAGTCTCGGCGCAGGAAGAACAGTGAAGTATGCAGTTAAATGATTTCCTGACTTGATGCTAAAATCTCCCTCAATTATTCACACCCTGTACCAGAAAGAATAATTCTTGTCTTCTGCTGACACTCTTGACCACACAAAAACTATCTTAGAGAACAGTTAACCCTGTTTGTTTCTCACTGGCTGGTTCTCAAAGCTCTGTAGACATTTAAAAAAAAATATACTATGACTCTGGTATTGATCTCCTGGATCTTTTCATACACTTTTCCCATATTTCAATCTTTACAATGCTCTTCCAAGCTTTTTAATCATCTGAAGATGAATCCTTACTAGTTTTCTCAAGGAATGAGATCAGCCCCCTCTCTCAGCCTCCTCATCTGTCCCATCAGCCACTCCTTACTTGGGATTCCACCCTTTTGACGTGTCCTTTTCCAAGAGGCAAGAATTTATTCCGAATCTCTTCCTTTTTTGTGAAATAATCTTCAATAAAGGGATATTATTCTTGTTATTGGCAGCAGTTTGGCAAAAAAAAAAAATAGGATGAATGTATCCTACTAGTTAATTGATTTGCACTGGGCCATAGCTTACACTACATTACATTCTCTGAAAGACAAAGTGGAGTTTTTGGGGGGTTCTTTCCCCCAAAACAACTCTCAAATATACCTAAATATAGGCAAGCAAGATTCTTTGCAAACCAAATGCTTAAAATACATATTAATTTGATTTAGTTTTATTAAAATTTTAAAATACTTCCATCCTTAAGCACAGTAAATTCAGAAAGGAAATTGCATTGGCAGGAAGCTATGAAAGTGGCACATGGAGTTTTGTTTTGTTCCCAACCAAAATCAGGGTTCACTTCAAACTCTTTCAATCAGGATCATGTCAGGAAGGAAAGCCCTGAACAGCTGAAAAATTATATAAGGGCTTAAACAATAATTTATGTGACATGCTGAGAGAAGAAAAATCAGACTAGGAACTGCAATGATTGATATTCAGATTAAGGCTGAATTGTTCAGGATTTCAAATCTATGGTAAGTATAACTGCAATGCTCTTAAACTGTTCTCACTATTTAGATTGCTCTGTAATGAAAAGTGAAATCATATGAAAATTATTTCCATATGAAAATGCTTTCAGGTAAGATAAAGTTGCATTTTTATAAATTGTGCCTTTTTAACCCAAATAAGGAGATAATTATTTCTGATGAGCTTAAGGGAAGGTGTACTCATCTATCCTCAGGCAGGCAAAATGCTTTTACTTAACTTCAGAACATTGTCTTTGATAATGGCTCAAAGAAAGAGGTTTTAGCAAGCAATTTGTTGGTTTGTGATACATATAACCCTTTAAAAGACCAGGTAAAGCCAAAAACACTATAAAAAGAGAGAAACTTAATTTTCTCATAATGCATTTGGAGTGCTTAACTATTGTAACTGGAAGACACAGGTTGCTGTCCCAAAGTTTAGAAATGAGAAATACAAAACAGAGCTTAAACTAATGACTCAGCTTTACTGAAGAACTTGATAAATAGCAAAAAAATATTTCATTCATTGTCTCTTCTGGGTATTAATATAGAATATTTAATAATAATTAGAAATTTATTTGTGCTTACCTGTTCTCTGGTGTCTAATATTTCATTCTACAGACTGCTTCTTAACAAGTAATTTATAAGGTTGTGTCAATGTTGTACATGAGGGCTATTGCTACTTTGTCCACATTTTGATACTGCCCTTTGTACTTTTGCTAGTTGAATCCTGGGATATTGGACTTTAGACCCGCAAATGTCTATGAGTAATGTATTTATGAATGATCCCACTAACTTCAGAGGGACTACTTAATTTTTACAAAGTTAGATGGGGAGGACATGAACAGCTAAGGTTTTCTTATTAAAATTTTAAGTACTTGCATAAATTTTTAGAGAATGACTTGGTTCTTTTTCAGGAAGTTTGCCTGGGCTGAAAAAACCAGATCATTCATCACATTATGGCCCATCTGCACTCTGTTCATGGGGAATATTGCTGGTGCTACTTAAGGGCTGGTGCTTTTGAATATTAACTCCAGTATTTTGTTATAAATTTACCACTGTAGGTACAGTGAGCAACAACACTTTCAGGTAAGCTGAGTTTTGAAACAAAATACTTCAAAATTATAAGCCATTTTTTTTGACTTTCAAAAAATATAGAGTAGAAATATTCTTTTTACATGTATTTTGAAGCTTATATTATTCATATAAGACTAATGCTAAATCAATAAGGAATATAAGCTTGCCTTTACTTTATGTTTTTGAGAATTCCTAAGGTCCAGTTGAGAGTACCATAGAGATTCATGCATATTTTGCATGATGAATTTTAGATAAAATCCCCATCATTTAAATATTACATACCTCATATCCATGGGATAATATTTTTAAGAACTTCTACTATATTAACCAGGTTAATGTAGGAAAATTAAAATTTGCAAGTTCACAGTAGATTTTCTGAGTATCCTACCTCTGGAAGTTTGTGGAAACCAATATTGCAATGATTTCCTTGTGCTGCTCTAAGGACTGTACTGACATGTGAGATTCATGATCTCCCCCATCTGTCACAACTCAAAGCACAGATCAGGTAAACCATGTCATTTCTGCAGATATTTAGAAAAGGTTGGCAGAAATTTTTAGAAAGTTATTCCCACCAACCTGTATATTTAGGTGAATCATTTGTTCCCTCTGAATTCACTTTCCTCAGGGCAGCCAAGTGCTTAAGTATTTCTGGCACTGATGGAAATAATCATCTGTTGTATCACTTTTTTCCCATGTGGGAAGTACATTTACTCTCCAAAGAGGAACTGAAACAAAATTGTCACTATTTTGACTAGTGGCAACACAGAACAAACAGGAAACACTTCAAGGGAAATAGTTACAAAAATAGCATACACAGAAGACATAAGAAGCTTTATGAATTCATATTATGAATTAATACTTAAAAGCAATAATCTATTTCTTGCCAACATTCATAAGCAGGAAAGGAGTCAGAATTAATTGGATTAGGAAACACATAATTTTTCATTAAACTGCGCTTAGTGCAGGTAATTGTGCATGGAAATTGTAATTATGGGCCGTGTATGTGTTTTATATGCGGGATCTATGTCCAGTAGGATAGGTAGCAATAACTATTAGTGAAATTCTCACACAAATTAATGGTTGAAACAACACTGACTTATGCTGAAAGTCTAAAGTACACACTACTCCCTGCCTCTGCTGGTTATTTCAGCATCGCTTATTGTCCCACTAACCTACTGTACAGCAATGTTGTCACAGGGCTGTTGGATTAGACACTGGGTGTTTCACATCTCTCAGCTGCACACTCTTGCTGAAGATACTGGATAAAATTACATTTTTCATTTAAGGAAGAGAAAAACCCAAACAAAACCAAGAATCTTGATGCCTTGGTTGCCCATGGCAAGTGAGGAATTCCCATTTACAGACATAAAATATAGGAATACAAGTAGACAAAGCACCAAGTTACTACAAGTGTAATTTTTGTCTCATTTTTGTAGATCTCTCAATAGAAAAAACAGCCCATATCAAGGGTTTCATTTTCAGTGACCTTTGTTTTCCAAATATGCACTCTGACAGTCGTGTCCTGCCAATGAAGATCACCGTGGTGTCACAGCAGAGCCCCTCCTGCATTCAGAGCTGTGTGTCTGCTGTGCATAAGCATTACTCAACATTGCAGATTCTGTGCCAAGGAAAAGCTGCTGTGCCTACTGCTTGTCCAAAACCAGGACAGGATCAATCCAACACGGAAGCTCTTTCAATTCCAACACACAACTTCATATCCCACTTTTTGCAAAATGAAAATCTGTGTTCAGGTTTTGGCAGTCTGACTCAAGACCATGCTTCTGAAATCACAGACTTTAATGGAAACATAAAGTTGATACACAAAACAACATCTGAAAACAGATCTGAAACATCTAAATTGGACTGTGACAGGAGCAAGCTTTGGTAGAATTGGATTATTTAGAATAACCATCACGATGCCAACAACGAGTCACTCAGGATTTACATCCCAACATTTGTAGCAAATGAAAGGTTACCCTTAACCATGGTAGATTACAAATAAAGACAAAAATAGTGCTGATCATTTACTCTTCCACATAGAACATGACTCACAGTCTGATTGTTCTCCCAAGTATCAAATCACTTTTGAAAGGACATTTTTATATTTCACCTTAACAAATTCCAGTGACATTTGCCTTGGGCAGTTTCAACAGCAATTTCACTGTGCAACTGTTTATTTTTTACTTTCAAGGTAATATGTTTATTTGGAATTATGTTATGGCAGCGTCCTGTGCATGGCAGTATATGCAATTTGGAGCTGAGAGGAGGTCTCCAAACCACTTAACAAGACTGCAAACCAAATCTCTGTACTTGAGTATCTGCAAAAGATGTGCTGAGGCAGAGGACATCCTGTGGCAGAGCTGCAGGAGGGCTGAGAAGGCTACATAACTTCAGGCTGTGAAGGAGTTGGATGGCTGGTTCTAAGGGCAGCCTGCAATAATCCCACAGCCAAAGAGGCAAAAACTCTCCCACCATGCACACACAGAAGGGAGGAGGGGTGTCAGTAAGGCAGAAGAACAGACACTTGAAATGACAAGAACCTGCTGGAGAAGAGACTTCCCTGAAACCTGAGGTGACCCTGCAGACCCACTTCAGCACTCTGCAGGCTGGAGAGGGAGGACCCATCAGTCAGGAGTGAGGCTGGAGCTGAGTCAGGCAGCCCCATCTGCTCCCTGTGTAACAACCAGCACAACTAGCAAAGGTGACAGGTGAGAGTCACGGGACTTTCCTCTCTCCTCTGAGAGGCAAAGAGAAACCCACTCATCAACCTGACTGATTACCAGAAAGCTGCAGCAGGCTTGTCACCCAGAGCCTCCTACAGTCTCCTGACATTATCTGCTGCTGTTGTTTCACGTGCGCACCAGGGATACAGCCAGGAGTGCTCTGAGGAGGACCAAGGACATTGCAGATCCCTGGGAGTGGTGCTGAGGAACTCAAGTGCTGGCAGCTTTTTCATCAGTCCTCCCTGTCAAAGGGAAGGGCTTTGAAAGGGCCAGGTGAATCTGGCAAATCAGCAAATGGTTAAGTGTCTGGTGCCACAGCCAGGGACCTGGCTGCTCCTGGGGACTCATGTTGAAACCTCCTGGGCTGGTGGAGTCTGATGGGGACCCACCTGCCAGGAACAGCCAGAGCATCTCTGGTCGCAGGCCTGCCAAGCTGGTGAAGACTTACACTGAAGTTGCTAAGAGAGGGAATCCTCAGTCCATTCCACTCCTACTCTGATACCAGTATCAGCAAAGGATGCCCAGAGCCTGGAGAGGGATTGCAAATCAGCAAGAGAGAAGCTGAAGTGCTGTGCAAGGGAATTCCAGCCATTCCTGCCAGTAAGTCTGCTCCATCAGAGGCCCAACTTAAACGCCTTTAGGCAAATGCACGTAGCATGGAGGGGTAAACAAGAGCAGCAGAAGACTGTGCACACCTGCAGGGCTGTGAGCTTACTGGCATCAGGTATGTGGTAGGATGGCTCCTATCACTGGAGAGTTGGAGTGAAAGGATACAGGCCCTTTAGGGAGGACAGGCAGGGAACAGGAGAAAGTGGTGTTGCCCGCTATGTCCATGACCACATGGAGTGTTTGGAGCTGTACTGGGGTTGGATGAGGAGTTTATGGCTGAGGATTAAAGGGAGGGCAAGGACAAGTGATGTTATAGTGGGAGTCTAAGGCCACCCAAGCAGGAGATGAGAGCCAAGCAGATGACACCCTCTACAGGCAGAGGCGCTGCCCCATATTCACAAGCCCTGGTCCTCATGGGCAACTTCAACTACCCCAATATCCATTGGAGGGACAACACAGCAGGGCATGAGATTCTTGGAATACATGGGTAACTTACTTCTCCAAGTGACAGAGGAGTAAACAAGGAGAGTTGCTATGCTGGACCTTGTTCTTTCCAATAAGGAGAGGCTGGTGGGGAATGTGAATCTCAAGGGCAGCCTTGGCTGCAGTGACCATGAAATGATGGACTTCAATATCCTCAGGCCAGCAAGGTGGCACACCACAAGCTCACTAACCTGGACATCAGGAAGGCACACCTTGGCCTCTTCAGGGATCTTCTGGGTAGAGTACCATGGGATAAAGCCCTGAAAGGAAGAGTGACCCAAGAAAGCTGGTTAATATTCAAGGATCACCTCTTGTAAGGTCAAGACCAATGCAACAAAGAGGAAGCCAGGCAAAAATGTCAGGAGACCTGAATGGATGAACAAGGAACTCCGAGACAAACTCAAACACAAAAAGGAAGCCTCTGCTTCCCCCACAGAAAAAGAATGAAAGCAAGGACAGATAGGCCAAGAGGAATACAGAGCAATTGTCCAAGCAACCAGGTTAGGAAGCTAAAGCCCTGATAAAATTCTACCTGGCCAGGGACATCAGGGGCAACAAAAAAAAATCTTCTACAGGTACATCAGTGAAAATGTGAGACCTCTCCAGAATGAAACGAGAGACATGGTTACCTGTGGCATGGAGAAGGCTGAGGTAATCAATGTCATTGAGTACATTTTTGCCTCAGTCTTCACCTGCCAGTTGCTCAGCCACTGAGACCCAAGTTTGCACAAGCCCCTTTGCTGAGGTGGCAAAGGCAGGGACTGTAAGAATAAAGAACCACCCACCATAGGGGAAGATCAGGTTCTGAACCAGCTAAGGAACCTGAGGGTCCACAAGTCCATGGAACCTGATGACAAAATATGGAAAATAAGGTGATTGGTGACAGTCCACATGGCATCACTAAGGGCAAACACTACAAACATCCTTCTATGACAGGATTACAGTGCTGGTGGGTAAGAGAAGAGTGATTGATGCCATCTACCTGGACTTGTGAAGAGCATTTGACACTGTCTAACATATCTTACATCCTTGACTTGGATCTGGAGAGGCATGGATTTGATGGATGGACCATGTGGTGGATAAGGAATTGGCTGGATGGTCACGCTCAGAGTTGCTGTCAACAGCTCAACGTCCAAGTGGAGACCAGTGAATGAGTGCTGTTCTACAGGGGTCAGTACTGGCACTGTTTGACACCTC